GTGATACAGGGCCAGCTTTCCTGATTATGATCATAATCTTTTTTTAATGAGAGCAAATACTTGTCACAGGGTTCAATGTTTGCTGCTTACTGTGGAACAAAAGTTTTTATGGTACAGTTTCCTTTAAGTGCTGAGTCGTTTTACCTGTAGGTGTATGTTTGAGAAATGGGTCAAATTTAGCCAACAATGGATGAAATATTTCAAGAAAACTTGAATAATTTAAAGTGTCACTTTTCACTAATGGAGAAATTTAGTTCTTGTCTAGGAAAAGATTGATGATAAGGAGAATGATGATTCTTTCAATTATTAACCATTATTCCATCTTCAGGGCTTTCTTAAACCGTTTTTGGACTCGTGAATTATAGCATATTATTCTAATTTTTTTTTTTTTTAGTTTTTTTTTTTTAAAAGATTTCATTTTTTTCCTTTTTCTCCCCAAAGCCCCCCGGTACATAGTTGTGTATTCTTCGTTGTGGGTCCTTCTAGTTGTGGCATGTGGGACGCTGCCTCAGCGTGGTTTGATGAGCAGTGCCATGTCCGCGCCCAGGATTCGAACCAACGAAACACTGGGCCGCCTGCAGTGGAGCACACAAACTTAACCACTCGGCCACGGGGCCAGCCCCATATTATTCTAATTTTTATTCCAACTTAAATCTAGAAATAACAAAGTTTAAAACAGGCTAAATATTTTAATACGTCTGCACAGGTGCATTTCTCTTCTATTTCTGAGGCCCCTCTGTGGAATTTCATAACTAAAGATCCTTACCCTCTGACAACCAAACGATCCTTTTCTTGTCATTTAAATACTCTCTGTATCTGATTCCTGCATAACAGGCAGACCCAGCTAATTCTGTAAGTGGACTAAATTATTCCACGTTAAAGATATATTTGAGAGATAGATGTCTCTTTATTCGTATACTATTTTGTCTTACTATCTGTGTGTCTTAAAAGTGTCTTAAGTGTGTATCAATCTATTGAAATTATTTCCTGATTACCTTTATATGCAAGGCACTGAGGGGATTTAAAAGATGTTTAAAACTCAACCTCCAACTCTGAAAGAGCTTACGCTTGCCACTTTGTCGATTCTTTACTTTAGTTGCCTACAAACATGAAATCCATTCTCATGAGTCCTTCCCGACAATCGTAATTATGATCACAGTCACCACCCCTCCCCTGGCTGGTCCCCCAGTGCCCCCAGCCATTCCTGTGTTTATTGCTGAATGTCTCAACCACTAGGATATAAGCTCCATGGAGGCAAGGATGTCTGTCTGTTTACTGATGTATCCCAAATGCTTAGAATTGCGCCTGGCGTAGAGTAGTCACTCAAATATTTGTTGAACGATTGGAGGGGTATTCTATACATGTATTTTTCATATACAAAGCAAACAACTTTCAGATTAAAAACAAAACATATTCAAACTATATCCAGAATCCACCCATGTCTTACTATGGCATCACTATCAACCTGTCCAGACCAACAGGCCTTTCTCTTTTGGGACTGTCACAATAATCCCCTAACCAGAGGCTCCCTGCTTGTGCCTCCTACAGTCTAGATTCAGCACAGCAGCCAGAGAGGTCCTTTTAAGTCTCCCTACAGCTCAAAACCCTCACAAAAATAAAAGACCATGGCTTATAACAAGACTACAGTGATCTGCCTGCTCCCTCCCCACACTGTCTCCTGATTTCACTTCCTGCCGCTCTCCCACCTGCCACTACTTGGCCACACCCTCTGCCCCCCTACCAGGCCCAGGCTCCCTCAGGGCCTTAGCACTTGCTGTTTCCATTGTTTAGAAGGCACTTCCGTTTTTCCTTCACTTTCTGCTCAGTTGTCACTGTATCAGAAAGGCCATCCCTGAGCTTAATAAGGCACACACATTACCTACCTTGTTCAGAGGCCTTCCCTGACGTCCCCCATGCCTGATCACTCTGCTTTATTCTCCCTTAGCCTCCTTTATATTTCTTCATAGCACTTACATTACCACTTCACATAAATATTGTTGATTTATTTGGTTGTCTTTCCTGATTAGAATGAAAGTTTAATAAAAGCATGAAGTTTGTTCATTGCTGTGTCCCTGGTGTTACTGCATGTCAGACACACAGGAAGCACGTGATAAATATCACACATGGTGTGCAATAAGTATACATTATGAATAAATGTGCGCAAAAATAGAAGCAGAGCTAAATCTTAAGTGAGACCTTGAGGGAGCCATTGTAATTACCAATAGAAATGCAAGAACATGAATGAATAAGGCGTATTTATTATATGTAGGTATCTGTGACTCTAAATATAATGCAAGCAATAATAAAGTAATTATTATGAACTTTGTTTCTTGTTAAGCATCAAAAGTCCTCTTATTAGGCACATTCACACCCACACAAACGCCATTGTGCTATGCTGGACGTTCTTCTACAATCCCGCGTTTAAAGGTCTTGAGCAATTATTATTCCCATATGCAGAAAATTTTGCCTGTGGGATTGCTGCAGGCTGGTAATAATGGTCATGTTTACCACATATTTCTGGTAACACAGTGAAAATTGCAGACTCTCAGGATTATGATAGCACATAATTAATCAGTATGAAAAAAGACGAGAAGAAACGGCATGCTAATAAAGTCAGGTCTTTACTGCGCTGTCAATGTATTTGAACAGAGGTTCAGGAAGTAAATTTGGAACATTTAAGGTTCGAATGTGTGCTGCAGTGGAGGACGCTCACATACTGGCCACACAGTGAATCCATCTTCCATCAGAGAAACGGAAGTGCTCTGGGTAGAAGGAGACAGAAATAAAGTATTTGTCCCTCAATTACTTTTGCTTTTGGAGAACACGTTTAGTGATTCTTCCCTTCATTCCATAAAGAACCTAATGTTATTTTGTTAAGTTTGAGATTCTCTGAATATGTCTATCTCCCTTCCCATTATTTGTCAGTTTTATTTCCTGGGAAAATTATTCATCGTCTTTCAAAAACCAGAAGTAAATGATGAAAGTGGTGCTTTTTCGAAGGTGTTATTGTCATAAATTCATAGCTATTTTGAATATTTGTTTTATTCCATCTGGTGTCTACACACAGTGCCCGCCTTAGGGTTTGAGGTTTCATTTCGGAGCCGGACAGCCAGAGGCCCATCGTCAAGGCTGTTGGAATGCTATTGCCTGTACCCTGCAATGCTGGGGATTAAATCACAGCTCTAGACGGATATCACACACTGTGAAAACATCCAGACTCGCTTTGGATTAGTCACTCTAAAAAGGAAAACGGCAAAATAGGATTGCATTTTCTCTTAGTTAGTATTTATCTATCTTTATAATATAAAGGTATGAGAAATGGTTAGTCTTCAATTAGTTTTTAATCACTCCAAACTTAATTATTGCTATTTCTTGCATATTCCTGCTAGTCAAGATGACAGTGCAGTGGGCAGTGCCAACATAAGCAACATACCACATGGATTATCGAAGTATTTGAATATGATTTTTCTTTTTTAAAAGTAATTTAATATGAAAAACTTCTAATATCAAGAAATCTGTTTTGCCCTAAACATCATGTAGTTTATTGGATCACATTGTTTGTGAACAGTAAGAAATAATTATCGGAATCCTAAGTCAGATATTCTCCAACACAATTCTAACAAAGATTTAAATTTGCACATTTTTGGCATTGCTATTTTTGACAGCATCACTTATTTTAACATTCATAAAGGTGAAATGGGCTCCTGTTACAAGGTATTCCATTAAAACCTCAGTGCGCTCATAAAACCAAATTGGTGAAGGTAAAGTAAAAGAAGGTATTTAATTTATTCATTTAACAAATACTCGCATAGCACTCAGTATGTGTCAACCACTCTGGTTTAAGTACTTTACAACTGTCAGCTCATTTAATTCTCCTCACAATCCAGTGAGACAGTTAATATTACCATTGATAAACAAGGAAACAGAATTTCGTAGACAGTCAAAGGTCACACAGGTAGTTAAGTGGCAGAACCAGGATCCTGACACAGGAAGTGACTCTGAGCCTCATGTTTATCGTGTGCTCTGCAGCCACTCACTGGCGCTTTGTGTGACTTTGTGTTTTCTGTTTTTACTTCCTGCAATGGCATTGTGTTACCCATGCGTTTTGCAATGCTGACTAATCCTCTTCCTTTACAGCTGGTTTGCCTCACTTTTCTGTTTCTTATTTGCTTGGCTGGCTAAAGCGGCAGACTTATAACTATGTAAATTAGAGAATCCAATGTGTATTAATTATGACTAGATTCAGTTTTCATTCTCTTACATGTCTGTCTAAAGGATGGATTGTGATTATTTCCCTAAAGTATTTGTTATAAAAGATTTGTGTTTCCTCTGATAGGAAGTAGTATGCAAAATTACTTAAGATAGCAACTTTACTCGATTTAAATATTGACAAAAATGAATCTTTGAGAGTTGAGGGAAACTTGGCACATTGTGGGATATTTTTGGCTATATACAGGGTTATTTGGCTTTTGCCTGAGAGGCACATATCAAATTCTAAGCTCTGTGACATGTGATAGATTAAAAAGCTACGTAGAAATTGTGTCCTTCAGCTTTCTCTGTGTATAGATTCCTGACCACTAAGTTTAGTGTCACTCATGGTGACCCAGGAAGGTCTCTTGTATCAGATTTTATTCAACCAAGAGATTCTTGTTTTTAACAAACTTAAAGACAAAAATCAAATGGAAGATTCCACCATGGATAAAAAACCCAAACGTTATCTTAATTTGGGGCAAGAAAACACAAAATTGAACCCATTGTATGCACTGAATAAAGCTCATGGTTTTCAGGATGTCTTGAATAAGTGAGTAATTCTTGAACATTAAAACAAAAGTCCAGTGCCTAAGGAACATAGAAAAGGCAAAAATGCCCCCTTTTTGATGGTCTATCTCAGTCTCTAGGAATTTTTTTCTGAATAAAATGGCACAATTTATTAGACCTGTGTGCTTTTGTTGTTACTGTGCAATATGCCTGAGAACATTTTGTGTTCTTTGTCTTTTCAGATGACAGACATGATGCTCAGGAGAGTCGCTTAAGAGACTTAATAAGAGAGCTGCCAGACACCCACTACTGCCTCCTCAAGTACCTGTGCCAGTTCTTGACAGAAGTAGCCAAGCACCACGTGCAGAATCGCATGAACGTTCACAATCTCGCCACCGTGTTTGGGCCAAATTGCTTTCAGTAAGTTAGTGGCGTTTTGCTGTTAATATCATCACGTACCCTTTTCCTTGACTAATGCCTGAAATTACTGGGACATAGAAGCACATTTCAGATTGAACAGTCAGTCAGCTGATTTTGGAGGAGTTCCATCTTGCTCTCAGGCATTTTACCCTTGTTTTTTTGGTCCCAATTTTATTTTATTTTTAATTTTTTTCGGATGTACATCATATTTCAAATCCTATGTACATTACATCATGTTCACCACTCGAACAGTAATTATAGTGCATCCCCTCACATGTGAGCCTAATCACCCCTTTTGCCCTCCCCCCTTCCCCAATGGTAACCACCAGGCCAATCTCCAATGCCATGTGGTTTTTTTTTTTTTGTCGTTTTTATCTTCTACTTATGAGTGAGATCATATGGTATTTGACTTTCTCCCTCTGACTTATTTCACTCAGCATAATACCCTCAAGGTCCATCCATGTTGGCACAAATGGTTGGATTTCGTCATTTCTTATGGCTGAGTAGTAGTCCATCGTGTATAAATACCACATCTTCTTTTTCCACTCGTCCCTTGATGGGCACCTAGGTTGCTTCCATGTCTTGGCTATTGTGTATAATGCCGCAATGAACAGAGGGGTGCAAATATCTTTATGCCTTTGTATTTTCAAGTTCTTTGGATAAATACCCAGCAGTGGAAGAGCTGGATCATATGGTAGATCTATCCTTAATTTTTTTAATAGTGATAAAGTTCAAATCAATGCTAATAGGTAGAAAATGACAATCAAGATACCTCAGTGACAGAAAAATGTAACCTTAGCTACATTTACTTATTTTCTAGGAACTAATTAGACTAGAAATAAACTAGTCTCCTTGATAGGTACTATATAACTAGCCACAAGAACTTTTATAAAGCTTTGCATTTGATTTTCTGTGTTATTCCTTAAAACTCTTTATTGTTGATACGTGAAACATGTTCTTACGATCCAGGGACTTTGCTTTTAACTGTCCTATTAATCCTCTCTGATATCAAACATGTTCCTCCTAATTATAAGGAAAGAGAAGGAGAGAATGTTCACTCTTCAAAAGCTCTGAAGTTCTCAGCCAGCTGTTTTTTTGTAATAGTGTATTTGCTTCTCCACTCCATTAATCTGCGGACTTACTCAGCTGCCCAGAACTAGTAATATTATAGTCCTCAGAATGGCTGTCTGAATATAAACTCTAGCTTAACTTGTGGTGACTGTGGAGTTCCAGGACATTTGCAGCCCACTGTGGAGAGAAGTTCTACATTAAATAATATCTATCCCCATTATAACCTTAGAGATTTAAATTTTAAATAATGGCATTTCGTAGGCTATGTTAGGATCTCATGAACAAATATCTAAAACATGGGCTCCACTAGTCTCTTATCTTATTCAGGAGCTCTGTGGAAGTAAAAATTGAAACCCAAATTCTAGAAGAGGTGAAAATGAGTTTGTAAATAGAATGCTTATTTAATAACACTCAGATCCATACCTCATTGCTGACTTAATGGACTGGGCTTGATCTGGCATTTCTGGTAACCTGTTTCAATTAGTCAATCAAGGTATCACATAAGTGATGAGTTTTTATTATAGGTTCTACTAATTAGTATAGTTTTTCAAGTTTTTTTTATTGTGGTGAAATATGCCTAACATAAAATTTATGATTTTAACCATTTTTAAGTATACAGTTCAGTGGCCTTAAATACGCATTCACATAGTTGTGATCTACTAATTGATATATATTTCTATACATCAAATTATATATGGATTTAGAAGTCACTTATGGATATAGAAGTCACTATGTACTAGGTACTTTTCTCATTGAAATAGAGTTAATACAACAGATAGTATTTATTGAGCACTTACTAAGTACTGTACTCTCTCATTTATCTGACTGATTCTGAAGGGGCAGAGGTAGTTTATTTAGTCGTTGAAGTTCCCCTTTCTAGGTCAAGAAAAGTGGATACTTCAACTCCACTGACCGCAGTTAGTCCATAAATATTATAAAGATGGTCAGTGGAAAGCTGGCATTCAAGGATAGTTCTCTCACCATGAACCACTGGAAGACAAGCAAAGGCAATGCTTTCCTTAATAACTGGGGTGAATACATTGTATGGTCAATAGAAGAGGAAGATTTTTTCTAATATGGGGACATCCTCATGAAATGTCAATTTTTTATAGGATAAAAAATTTCAGATACAAAGTGATACTGGCTGTGAAATATGTAATCATAAAAATGGAAGGAAATATACCAATTATACATGCTTGTTTGCTGTTCTGGATGCTAGGCTTCTAGGTTACTCTTAATTACCAGGTTTTCAACATGTACTTCTAGTCACAGGTTTATTAAATTTAGATGATTAGGTAATATTATCATTGTGAAATATTCAAACAATATAGAGGTATATAGACTAAAAATAAAGTATCCTCCATTAGTGCTCCCCATTCCAGCCTCTCCTCCCTAGAGACAAAATCAATAACCCGTGGGTATATATCCCTCTATCCTTCTTTCTGAACTCAGCCATAAATCTATTTTTACATATAAAGGGGAGCATGATGCATATAATGTAAAGCTTGATTGTTTTTATGCTAGCACTGGAACTTTTCATGTCAGAATATTTATATGCCTCATTCTTTTTAACTATTAAATAGTGTGAATTTGCCCTAACTTGTTTAACTTTCCCTCAATTGATGAGCACTGAGGTGGTTGTCGATTTTTTGATGCTAAAACAGAATTGCAGTGAACTTCCTCAGTGTGACTCTTTATCTACATCTGCAACTTTTTCTTTAGGACAGATGACCTGGAAGTGGGATTGCTTGGCTGAAGGGTTTACACATTGCAAAATTAACGTGTGGTACCCTTCATAAGGCTATAACCGTTTATGTTTCCACCATTAGTGTTTGAGTATACCCATTTCCCTGGAACTTTGCTATGCTGAGTGTTATAAAATATTTAAATTCTTGTTGATCAAATGGGAAAAAATGATATTCTAATTCTTTGTGAAGTTAAGTATATTTTTAGATTTTACTGATTGGGGAGCATTAGTATTTGTGTTTCTCTGTATCCTCTGTTCATATTTTGTGCTTTTTATTTTTTATTTTTGACTCTGACTGCTTTGTGGGAGTTCTTTAGGTCTTCTAAAAACTATTTTTTTTGTCTATTATAAAAATTGCAAAACTTTTCTCCTATTCTGTTTGCCTTTTAGCTTTATGGTCCTTTATTATATTAAATTTTAAAAATTTAATTAATGTGTCATCTCTTCCCCTTTTTGTTTATGGGGATTTTTGTCTTGCTTAATAATATTTCTAAATAATTCTTGCTTAATATATTGTCTTGCTTAATGATAATATAAAGGTATTACAATACAATTTTTCTTTTGTCATATAGCTTTTTATGATTAGCTTTTTACTTTAGAATTTACACTTTTGTATATCACATATGGATTCAGTTTTTTTCTTCAAATGGATAGCTAATTGTTATGAAACCATTCATTGAGTACTGTATCTCCTTGCTAATTTACAGTGTAACTCTGTCATGTAATAACTTCCCACACATACATGAGTGTCTGGTTTTTATATGGCTCCTTCCTCTCCTCCTCCATTTTTCTATTACAATTTTTTCTTTCAGAGAAATTTTGGAGTCTCCATGGTAAATGGTGTCTTACTGTGGTCTTGACTTGCATTTCCCTGATGATTAATGAGTTAAATATCTTTTCATGTGGTTTTGAGCCATCTGTATGTCTTTGGAGAAACATCAGTTCAGATCGTCTGTCCATTTGGTAATTGGATTATTTGTCTTTACTATTGAGTTGTAAGAGTCTTTATATATTTTAGATCTAAGTCTCTTATCAAATACAGAATTTGCAGATATTTTCTCCCCTTCTATGAGCTGCCTTTTCATTTTCTTGATTGTGTCCATGTAAGCAGAAAAGTTTTTAATTTTGGTTAAGGCCCATCTGTCTCTTCTTTTGTCGCTTGTGCTTTTGGCGTTGTGTCTAAGAAGGTTTTGCCTAACCCATGAAGATATTTTCTTTTAAGAGCTTTATAGTTTTAACTCTTACATTTAAGTCTATGGTGTTTATTTGGAGTTAATTTTTGTGTGATATAAGGAAGGAGTCCAGCTTCATTTCTTTGTGTGTGGATTTGCAGTTTTCCTAGTACCATTTTTGAAAACACTATTTTTCCCCCCATTGAAGTCAGTTGACTATAGTTGTTAGGGTTTATTTCTGGAATCTCAATTTTATTCCATCTATCTACATATTTATCCTTATGCCAGTACCACACTATTTTAATTCCTGTGACTTTTTAGGAAGTTTTGAAATCAGGAAGTGTCAGTCTTCCAACTTTGTTCTTCTTTTTCAAGATTTTTTTAACTCTTCTAGGTCCCTTGCATTTCCATATGAATTTTAGGATCAGCTTATAAATTTCTGCAAAAAATCTAACTGGTATTCTGGGAGGAATTCTGTTGAATGTCTAGGTCATTTGGAGGAGTCTTGCCATTTTAACAGTACTAAATATTCTAATCTACAAGCATGGGATGCCTTTCTGTTTACTCATATCTTCTTTAATTACTTTCAACAATGTCTTATAGTTTTCAGAGTACAAGTTTCACATTTCTTTTGTTAAATCTATTCTTAATATATATTCTTTTGGATGCTATTCTAAATATAATTGTTTTCTTAATTTCATTTTTAGCTTGTTCATTGCTAGTGCTGACATAGTTTTAATTTGCTTTTATTTTATTATGAATGAAGTTGAGCATCTTCACTTATGTTTAAGGACCATTTGTATTATCTTTCTCTTGATGTGTTTGTTATGTCTTTTGCCTGTTTTCCTGTCAAGTCCTCAAGAGTTTTTTTCCTTGTTGAATATTTATTCATTCTTAGTTTCTTTTTCTCCTTATAAACACATTTAAACGTCTAATTTTCCTCTCAGTATCATTTTGTCACATGACTTTCAATATTATTGTATCACTTCTTGCCATGGGTTGGATTGTCCAAGATACGAGCCTCGAGACAGGTTTCAAGCATGAGTTTTATTGGGCAGTGCTGTTTGGCACCACACCTGTAGGGAGTAGAGGGAGGTAGGATTAGGCTGAAGAAGTTGAACTGTCATATAGTTGTAACAAAGGCCTCACTCACTCCAGGGTTGCTTAGAAGCTGGGATGGCCTTTCACAGATATCCCAAATTGAGTCCAACGAGTTGGTCCGTTTACCCCATTTCCATCTGTTATTGGGGGTGAGCTGTGCCCAGAGAGGTGGTGTAATCGTAGGGGAGGAATTCACCTATGAGCCATTAGCAGGAAACACTCTCAACATCTGGGGTAATGAATACTTCCAGCATGAAAGGGGCATCTAAGTAGCACCCCACAGAGTCTACTACATTTCTATAATAAAGTTATAATAATGCTTTTATAATATACTATGGCACAGTAATAAATTTTTTTCTATGAAAAATTCAGCAAACTTTGGACCATAAGCTGTATATGTTATATATGATTTTTCTAAAGAAATTCGTAATATCCCAGTTTCTAAGGCAAGTAAAAAATCCTTCTAAAGAATGTTATCTTAGAGATTAGCAGGAATTACTTTCCCCAAGTTTTGACAGTTATTAAAATGGATACTGGATTTTCAGTGGTTTGGATAGCATGAATAAGAAAGTTAATCTAGCCCTTGTTCTGCCACCTGGTGGGTTTGATCATCTGCATTATTTATTTTTCTGTTACATTTTCTGTAAAATAGGGCCTACAGAGTTTACTTTGAAGCTCAAGCAAGACCATGAGAGAAAGTCCTGGTGCACAGTATGCAGTTGTTAGAGTAGTGTTGGAATGCATATGTATTTAACTGAACACATTGAAAATTGCACTAAGGGAAAGATCAGGTTTATAGATTCTGCCCATCATACCACTTAATGAACTGGGCTCCTTAGAAACATGAGACAGGAGACATGACTTTCTTCTTACCTCAATTGTCTTAGTTTTCAGTTTATTCTTACATATATTACAAGCTCCTTACAGTATTGAGTTACTTTTTAATATTTAAAGAAAAAATTTTTCTTGTCCAATAAAACTTCTAAGTATAAACCAACTTCTTCAACTTAGTACTTCTATCAGACACAAATCTCGCAGACTTTTCATGTGCCACCAGGAATTGACCCCTCATCTACCTTGAGCATGCTGGATCCTTCTCCTTGGCTGCTGCCTTGCAGCTGGGTTGACCAGCCACCTGCCCAGAGTTCCTGGTTTCTTCCATCACTTTTGGACCCTCTACTAGCATCTGACTTCCTTATGGACTGCAGAGGGGCTGAATAAGGCAACCTGGAAGTCTCGAACAGTTAAGTCCCTCTGAGTGAACCTTGGCAATGGGAAACAGGAGTCAGGGGAAACTAGGTAGGTCCCTTCTTTCTCCCTCCCTTGGAATGCTCAATTCCATGGCTTCTCCTTGCAGCCCATCTGGTCAATTCCAGACTGCCAAATGAAGCATCTGTCAAGCAAGCTGTTATGTGTCTTTGGGGTTCTTTGTAAAATAGCTATGCACACTTTACCTTGTTTCACATCCTTACTTGCCTCCTTTCTTCACCCCATGCTGCCCTGTACCCCTGTTCCAAAATAATACACCAACCTCCTTATCCTCGTCTCAGTCTCTGTTTTCTTAAGAATCTGCTCTAAGGCGCCATGCACCTAAGGATGCAGCAGGCTGTTCCAATACAAGAGGAAAACCTATTTTCTTGAGATAAGATGAGAGTTGTTGTACTTAAAGGATTTTAAAGGGTAATATTGGCCATGCATGATTTTTTTTTTTTTTACATGCTGACTTTGGAACCTAATTTCCTCGTAAACGGCAACTCCACTGTAATTGCTGTAGTTCTCCAGTATTATTATATGACTCCTTTGAATTTGAAGTTTCCTCTGACGGTAAAGTGTTCAAAGCTGAGAATAAGATTAGAAAAACCTAGTTATTTATGTTTATTTAGAGTTAATTAAAAAATTTATTTGTTAAATGACGTTGATGAAGAGACCAGACTCCCTAAGAACCTTTAGCTGAGATTTTTTTTCTTGGTTGGTTGTTAATATTCTTGACACTGCATTAAACCCATTGTGCACACTTAGTGTCTATCATTTAATAACACCAATAACGTCAAAATTTAATCTCCAATAATTAAAACAAATCTGCTAATTGCAACTGATGAGTAAGCCATTTTGATCAAATTTTGGTTTATTTCTTGTTTGCTTTGCCTTTTGTCCATAGATCTGTAAATTAATCCTATCCCTTGACACAAGTGTTTCAGTGCTAATCAATAAGGTAATTGGTAATATTATAGGTATTTCTGAAGCTTAAGGAGGTAAAGCAATTTTAGATTTTGAATAAGACTTCCACATATGCTTCTTTCCAAGATGTTACATCTTTGCTTAATGGCAGCATAAAAAAGGTTTTAAAGCTGCTATTGGGCTCCTTCCCATCTTGCAAAAAAATAACATAGTAAGTTAATGGTACCAAATCACTAACCCATAACCTGTAGTTGCATATCTTTGTGTGCATGAGTGAGTAATTAGGTATTTGGACAACATTAGTAAATATTAGATGAGATCAGCTACATTTGTAGACACAAACAGGATGTGTAACCAGATAAGCCTATAATGTTGCCGTCATCTTATCTGCTGACTGCTACTAAGCAGCTTTGTTTGGTTTGCAGCCCAAATGTTACTTTTGGAAAATTGATAATTTGGATTGAAAAGTGTAGACAGTTGAAATTTTTTAAAATTAAGCCCAGGCTCTAGTCTCACATAGTGATAAATTTGTATAGCCTGTTGGCATGTCTATTTATAAAATGCGAGTTGTTCATTTAATTTTTAGCACAATTGTATTTATTATTGCCATCCTCCATAAACATGTTTTTGGCATATGAAAGCATGGGTGATTGGAAAGTTTGAGCTTTCTCGGCTGAAACCTGTGACAGGCTTTCCACCTATTACTGCATTGTCTGTACTTCTGTGTTATCAATCCCACTGTCACTTGTAACTGTGATAATTGACTTTCCAGTTGCCTGCCTTTTTTTTTTTTTTAATGTGAGCCTATGACCTGAGGCTTGATGATAGAACTGGCAGCCTGGAAGCCGTCAGTACCGAAGACGTGATGCCAAGCGGGCCGGAGCCCTTTCCCTCTGCCTCTCCATGCTACGGGGACCAAGACTGCATGCTCATCTCCACCATGAAAAGGAGGGTGCCTTTTCTAAAAATGAGTATAAGTTTACTTTCTATTACAAAAGTAACATATGTTCATTGTGGAAAAATAAAAGTTTCTTCAAACCACAAAAGCAAAAGTATAAAGATGAAAATGAAAATCGTCCAGACTTCTACCCAGATTCAGTCAGTGTTCACACTTTGGTTTATGTACTTCCACATTCTCTGCATGCTCACATATGTATTTATATTTGTGTTCGATTAAAGATGGGGTAACAACATAGTACTGCTTTATAATCTTTATTTAAAAACTTAATGTCATCTATTATGGCATTTTTCCACACTTGTAAATACAATTCTACATCATTATTTCTGATGACGGCATAGCATTCTGATCTTTTGATCAATATCCTTTTATTTAAGCCATCCCTATAAATGGTGTTTCACAATTTTTTTTCTTGGCAATAATAGTAATAGGTAATATTTATTGAGTGCTTACTAAGTTCCTGGCAATGTTCTAGGTACTTTTCGTTTATTTGCTTATTTTATCCTTAAAGCCCTATGAGGCAGGTACTATTATTATCTCTAGTTTATACAAGAAGAAACTGAAGCACAGAAAGTTGAATTGCTCAAGGTCACATGGCTAGCAAGAGGTTAGCCTCAGGATTCTGAATCCAGACAGCCTGGCTCCTGAGCTCCAAGCTCTTAATCACCCCTATCTGACTGTTTCCCCTGTAAACAGCACTGCAGGGCCTATTCTTGAACATACATTTTTCACACTTCGCTAATTGTTTTCTTTGGATATACTTTTAGAAGTAGACTTGCCTTGTCAAAGAATATTCATATCATCAAATTTTATCTTCATCGAAAGCTTGTCCCAATTCATGCTGTGGACAGCGATCTATGACTGTGTCCCCTTTCTCCACACCTTCTCCAATACTGATGTTATCATTCTTTTTCATATTTGCCAATATAATAAGTGAATGTTAGTTCTTGTAAATTTTTACTTATTAGTGTAGGTTTAACATATCTAAAAGAGTTTTTCCCCCCTATAGTTTTTCTTTTGTTTTATTTTCTTTTTCAGTTTTTCTAAGCTAATGCTCTTTTTTTAAAATTGATTTGTAAAAGTTCCTTTTGTAGTACAACTATTAATCTGTTATATGTTGGAAATACTTCTCACAGTTTATAATTTGAAATTGAACCTCATAATTCTTTTTGCCATAAAGAAGTTTAAAGATGTCATTAATCCTATATATCAATTTGTGTTGTTTCGGTTTGATATCATCCTTAAAAGGCCTTCTGCCTCAAGATTATGAGAGTATTTATTTATATCGTCTCAATATTTTTGCAGTTTAATATTTAAATTTTGAATATATGTGGACATTATTTTAGGAAAGGTATGATATAGGAGTCTAAAAGTTATTAAATGTTATATTTCGTCTTAGCATATATACAGTTTTTTTAGATACCGAATTCTAGTGAAATTTACTTTGGAATAAAGTATAATTTAAAGATTTAATTTTTCACCAAAATAATTAGCCTGCTAACCAAATAGCATCTAGAGAGTAATTCATACTTTGCCAAGTGATTCAAAATGTCACTTTTATCATTATATCAAATTCTTAATATATTCTGGCCTTCTCTGGGCTTTGTCCTACTACCCTGATCTATCTGCTTCTCTGGGGCTAGTAGAAGCTTGAAAAAATAAGTAAAACTGTAAAGTGCACAGTTAAAATCATCCACTAATCCTATTACTTAGAAATAATAACTTTAAATGTTTTATCTGTTTCCTTCCAGCTTTTTTCCCATGTTTATATTCTTTTTAAAAATTTTTATCCATGTTATATTCTGTATACCTTTTTAATCCTGCTTTTTTACAAAACATTAAATTGTAAGTGTTTTCCATGTCGTTTAAATCCTTTAGTTTACATCATTTTTTATTTGCAGAGAGTCAGGACTTTTTATACAGAAGATGACAGACTTGTATATATTAAATTCTGTATGTATACAAAAAGCATATTCTTGAATTATCTATTTCTCATGGTGAATCCATAAGCATAGTTGGTAGTCATACTTTTATGGATTAAAAAACTGAAGTGTACAGAGGATCAGATTTTAGGATTACAGAGCTAAAATAGAATTGATAGCATTTATTTTGGTCTGTTCCAACTGAAACTCTGAAGTAGGCAAGAGAGTAATCATTTGCTTTTTAGAGAGAAAAAAGCCAGATTGATGCAGAAAGATTTCTACGTTATCGTCCCTTAGATTTATTATCAGGTGGACAGAGATATAAGGTTGAACCATATAAAACTGCCATTTTTCTAGTTCAAAATGACCAAATATTGCAGTTTCATATAATTCAATAGTAGGCTCATCTGTTGTTCCTGTTATTATCAGCTAAGAATGAGAGTTTGAATCATGTAAGAAATGAAATACAGATATTGAAGAGGATACTACAGATTCTCCATTAGATGTCTGCTTGTTTTTTCCAGGAGTCCTGGTGGTTTATAATTTTATATGAGCCATGTATGCCGTTCCTCCCAATAGTCTGTGTGAAGGGTAGAGTAAACTTTGTTACTCTGGCTAGTGGTAATAATGATGCTTTAAGCCTTGGTTTTTCAAACAAAAATCATCAGAAAGGATGCTTTTGACTTTGGTCTCCCTCAAGAGATGGCAGTAGATCTGCGACTGGTTGCTCAGCAAATTGATTGCTTGTTTGTAATACAGGAGATTAGCAAACAATAGTTTTGAAAAATATACAGTGTAATTGGCATTTTTTCTTATGTGAAATGTTGACTTTGTTATATTGCAATGAGCAGTGATTTTTTTTCCTAGTAATCCTTGGTCAGTGCGTTTTAGGTCAGTGCTGATGTGAGGAAGGATGAAGGAGCTGGTTTGCAGGTCTTTCTCCCCATCAGTGTGATGTAATGTTTTCAAAATGTGTGAACTGTCCTCTGGAATATACCTCTCTTGAGAATAGCAGGGCTTAGTGGTTGAACATTGCTGACTGGAGCCAGAGTCAAAGATTTCTTATCCTTTTAAAAATGATCCCTGGAGTTCTTCAATCTCTGAGAGTGCAGTGATTAAGCAATCACATCTCCTGGCAGTTAATGATCATCTGGAGAAATCTATGGTCCCATGTAAACTCATGGTCTTTTAAAGCCAGTCAGTTATTTATTAAAGAGAAATGCCCAGCCAGAAGACATCAACACTACTCAGCTAAATACTACTTTAAAGAATGAAATTGCATGTTTCCCTTCAAACATGCTTTCAGAGGACTTCTACATTCATGAGCTTGTTTATTCGTTATGTCAATCGTAGGAAGAGAGCAGGCCAGATGATGTTACTTTACGAAGGCTCATGTGAGGCTCCATGGGGTGCCTGGCAGGTGGGTTATCAAGTTACATAACTAGTATGTAGGACGACTAAGAATAGGATGTCTTTTGATTCCTGGTCTGCTATGTTTTCCACTAGATCATATATTTTCTCAGGGTAATACTGTAGATGTTGTTATTTACTGCACCATACTTTATCTCACCAGCCATGGGTTATTTGTAGGGTTGACCTTCACTGTAGCACTTGCCTGGATGTGGCCCACGTGTGTAGTCATTGTTTAAGTACAACTCTGAAAAATGAAAGACAGCATTTTGAATGAATACTCTTTCTCTTTGGGGTGGGGGTGAAGCAAATGCAGATTCTAATAATTCTGCTTTTCTAATTTTTCATGCCTCTAAAAGAAAATTCAAGTGAAAGCAAAATCGATTTACTCATGGAGTGTGGTTGGTGTCTATAAGACTTCAAACTGAAAACTATTGCCATATGTCTCATTCAAACATAATCTTGAAAATAGCCATCAACCTTTTAAACTCTGCGTCATCATCCAGTGATGACAAGCGGCAAATTTAGGCATATATAAAAAAGTACAAATATATATATTGACGCATTTTTCTTAGCTGTTAACAAAATCCAGTGGCAAATTTATATTCTCAACATTCTAGGTGGGAGTGTGTGTGTACGCTTACATAATAATCTCCAGAATTATTATCTAACACCCCTGTCTCTGCCCTCTGCATATTTTGTGTTGTCTGTTATTTTCTCTCATGAGGTTACTATAGAGACTCAGTCTTAAAGGAGCAGAATTCTACTGCTTCCTCTGTTGTTAACCAGCTTTATGACTTTCAGCAAGTCACTAAATTTTTCTAATGCTCTACCTGCTACCAGATGATAAATGAATTTCTTTTCAGCATTAAGATTTTATTATGTGATTTTAGTTTTCTATAATTTTTAGTTATTTATTTGATAAGCTTATTAATTTGCCAGATATTTTTTGAACACATTTTATATGCCAGCAGGCAGTGTGCCAGATGTTGGCTGCACAACATGGTTCATGCCCTCAGGGGACACATACACTATGGGGTAAGGGGAGGTTCCTTAAATAATCACTGAATTACAGTTGTGATACATGTTGCAATAGGGTTGATAATAGAGATCCTGGTCATGTGAATATGAGTGTGGATGCCAGAGAAGTGGCTTGTGCTTCATTCACACTTAGCTGACTCAGACCGTGCTCTCCTTTTTAACGCATTCCGCGTACCCGAAGTTCTCTTCATCTCTTCTCTGGCTGGTCTTGACAACTTCTGAACTGGTGTTCCTTTTTGCTGTTACCTACTTCAATCTCAATCCACACTGTTACTAAAATTCCCTATTTAAAACATGTCAGATCATATCTTTCTCTCTTGCTTCTAAGATCTCCACTCAAGGATATTTCTTTTCTCTATCATGACCTTCAAAGCCTTAAATGATTTGGTCCATAATTTCTTGTGTAGCCTCATCTCTTCTGCTACTTCCCAAGAGCTGTCCCTCAGGGATCTCAAGATAGGCAACTGTAATTAGATTAGAGGGAAACCATGGGGCAGAGCTGGAGTTCAGCAGTCACTCGTTCTAATTTACTTCTTGAAGAAAAAATGGACAAACTCTCCAAGAACAGTGGCATCCTGAGGAACGTCACAACCAAGTGATTGGAAAAGAGAGTTGGACAGA